AAGCGCACACAAGTGAGCGGGGTAAGCAAGTTGCTGGTTACCCTACAGTCATAATGATGTGCTCACTTGGTCGCAAAAGATTTTTATGGTGAATTCTTCAGTATGCCAGAGTACGTGGGCCCTTACTTCTGTCCCATCATCCTAGAATGCAGGGGCCTGGGTGGGATCAGGAGACCACCCCTATGTGTGACCGCTGTATGGAGCAGGGGGACTGTGTGCCCCTGTGGGGAAATCTGCAGTGTCCACGGCCAGTCCCAGGGGCCCCACCCACACAGCGCTCTGGTGCAGACTGGTACCTCAGCTTCAGTGTAGGCGCTCCCAGAAGTCCCATCCCCTCCTATGAACGAGCCATGGTGCTTCTCTGGACATCTCCAAGGAAGGCCACTCACCATGGGAGGGGCCGACAGAGCGAACAGTGCAAGCGACAGGGAGTTCAGATGCGCTCTGTTTTGCCAGAACCTAGCCAGCCCCTTTGGCCCAGCAGGCTACAGGAGCAGGGACACACCTTGCAGCTGCAGGAACCCCAGGGCTCAGAGGAGATGGCGGGGAGGGGCACATTTGTCACCCAGCCAGGTCCCCGCCACAGGGTCCTTTGCAGTTAACCAGGCTGGGTGGGGGAGAGTTGGGAGGAGTGCAGGGTCTGTCGCTGGGCTCTTCGTCCTGGCTTCATTTTCTCCCTCCCTCCTTGTATACCCCATGGTGTCCCCCCCACTCAGAGTCCTCGAGGTCCTATCCCCATCCCTCAGTCTCCCAGGTGTCCTTTATTTTGTGTGGAAGTCCTCTAGGCTTACCCCTCCCAAGAGAGGTCTCAAAGAGGTTAGCATCCCACATCTGCCAGTCCACTACCGCTGGCCACGGATGGCTGTCAGGCACTGGGGATGCAGCTAGTAAAACAGATACTTACTTTAATAAATTTAAAAGCTGATAACTGACTCAGTAATTTGGAAAACTTAAATTTGTTTGGGACAACTCTGCTTTTTCAGCTGTTAATTTTATGAAATGTAAGTACAAATCAAATATTTATAGGGAAGATTTAGCATCTGAGTCGAGACACAGAAGTGTAAAATACCACGTGTTAAAAACTTGCTATAGGAAAATTAAATATCTTATTACAATACTGGTTATCTGTTAAAATATATTATGAAAATTGATGTCACTGGTTTCTTTTACCTGTAGTGTAGCTTCTACAAAGTCTGCTTGGCATTGCACTTTATTTCTCTTGGGCTGTACACTTTAGATTGTTTTAGCAGCATTTAATGAGAGAATGGCTGAGTGAAGACTTGAGTTCCTTCTGCCAGCCCATAGTCCGCACCGTCCTGCTTTCCTGACACTGGCCCCGGTGAGTCTCGAGTTCAGGGAGTGGGGATAAAGGCTGTGGAGAGAGAAGGGCGATGCCCACTCCCCGCTCCAGGAAGCACCTGCCGTGCCCCCTGCCCCAGTGGCTGGAGCACGCCAAAGGCTTGAGCCCCTCACGGAGCTGTCTCATGTCCCGCTTCATCTCTGTAAGTGGTCGTGGCGCCTGGTGAGATGCTGAGCAGGAGAACAGAAGACGCCTCAAGTGCCAGCTGAAGGACCATCAGAACCTGGAAGGTTGGTAAAGCTGCTTCTCCGAAGCTTGGCCAATCGCTGTGTCACCTCCTGGGGCACAGTACTGCTAACCAGTTCACCTCTCTGTCCTAAGGCTGTTCAGATAAAGATTAGATCCTTCTCTAAGTGACGTACATATACAATGATGGTACCTGCTGCAACCTTCACGGGACTGCCTCTGGCGAACCAAGATGTGAAATCTGGTTGTAGACAAAAGGTTATATGGACAGTGATAGCGTGTTTCACAAAAGAATCTAAAATAAACTAACAGCAACCAAAAGAGGCCGTCGCCTACCGGGCACAGTACTCTGGGAAGTGAGACGAGACACAGAACCTGTTATGTCACATTCCTTTGCTTTGGAACATCTCCCTTATTCCGATCTATCCATCCTTTTATTTTATTTTATTTTATTTTTATTTTTATTTTTTGTCTTTTTGAGACAGGATCTCACTATGCAGTTCAGGCTGGCCTTGAGCTCATTTTGTCGCCCAAACTGATCTCAGACTTGCAGTGATCCTCCTGCCTCAGCCTCCTGAGTGCTGGGATTACAGGGCTGCACCACCACACCCAGCCCATCCCTCCTTTTAAACCGTATTTACTCTTCAAGACCCAGCCGAGTTAGACCCCATCTCCCTGGGCCTCTCTCTGATTACTCTGGATTTCCCAGCCCTGCTGCAAAGCAGCTGTGTGCGTTGGGGCTGCACACGTCATAGGTGTGTGGGCCTCCCTCCTCCGCTAAGTGGTGAAGTCCACCTGTGTATTTTACTTTGGGGCCAGGTTCTGAGACCTCAGTGTAAAGGATGGGATTATTCTCACTAGTTGTCTGTCACCATAACAGGGAGCTACAAATCGCTTTACAAACAGTTACACTTTAACCCCACCTCCAAAAAGTCAGATTGATGTGAAAAACATTTTATTAATAATTTTTCTGTTTACAGTATGTCTTCATTACAATCATTGTTACAATAAATACGGAAATGCTAAGCAGCCCAGCATCACAGCGGCCTCCAGTACAAGCTACAGGCACAGAGGGGTGCTGCAGGCCCCCAAGCTTCCCGAGAGATGGTCAGGAAAGCCCTCACAGAGTTCCCTGAGGGTGGAGGAATTGAGGCTCTGAACTCGTACTGGGATTAAGAAGTCAGCACAGCACATCCTAGTATGTCTATTAAAGCAGCAGACACCAGCCTTTATCCGGTGGCACAAAGGGAAGAGGCTCACAATCCCCTGTTCCGGAGAGGCCAAGCGAACACTCGAGAAGGCAGAGCTCTGCCCCATGTGTCTTCTTGCTGTCATCTCCACCCGCCATGTGCGTCCCCGAGAATCGAGTTCCAGGCGGCCGCGCTTCCCACACCACAGCACGGGCTGCCTGCAGGGCTGCTGGTGTCTGCGAAGTGAGGGACTCAGAAGCAGACTGGAGCGCAGAGTCTGGCAGGATTAGCAGTGTTGATTCTTGAAGCATTCCTTCTGCTGCCCGGGCTCTGTTTGCTCTTGACCACGCAAGCTGAATGCCTGGGCCGTGCTGAGGGGGAGAGGGAGAGGGAGGGAGAGATGCCCCTATTCATCTTCCCGTGTGGCTCCCTTATGACCCTCTCTTAGGCCCATGCGGCGATCTCTCTGTTCTCTCATCCAGGCACGCAGAGTTTTCTGAAAGACAGCCTCACCGCTCTGGAGTGGCTTGTACTAGTCTCTGATTGGCAGTGTTGGGCCAAGGCCAAGAAACCACCTAACTCATGTTGGCTGATGCCACTCAGGCTCTGAGGCTAACTGTGCATACACAATGTATCTGAGCCCCCATTAAGTCACCTGTAAACTTCCCTGATGAAGCAGGCTACAAAGACATCGGGCTTGCCGTCACCCAAAGTGTGACAGTGCACAAGAGAATTTTTCAGGTTGGGTGGAGTCGAAGACCGCAGACACTGTAAAGAAACCTAGGCTTCACGAGGACATTCTGTGCTGTCAGAGTGAGACTAAATCAGCGAGTTCCCTGTGAACGGCAAGGAGCAAGTGATGAGGGGCTGCTGGTTGAGGCTCCTTCTCTGTCATGGAACTGACTGATCTCAGGGCTCTCACTTCTACTAGAGGAAAATGAACAAGGAATTAAGTCTTCTCAGAAACTGTTTTTGCAACTTGGCGGGGAAGAATTTTGGAGAATCTTAGCATTCCATAGTTATTGGTCCTTAAATGCCGTGATCAGGCCAGCAGACGGCTTCCTGCTCTTAGTAGTATAAAAATGTCTTTTAGCTAAACCGTGATTATACATTCTCAAAGTCAAGAGAATCAGACAAGTCCTGATTTCAGGTTAGCAGTAGGAGCACCACTGAAGTGGCAGAAATGACATTTGGGCAAAAGAGATGAAATCTTTCCTGCAATCATTTTGCTCCTGCCAATTTCCTGCAGTTTCAAAAGTAGGTCTCTTACAAACATGTACTAATTTAAAAGTGAAATAAAACAAGGTAAAAGAAAAGCAGATGGGGCCATCCCAGCTCGGGTCTGCTCCAGGAGGGAGAGACCAATTCATTTTTTAAGGAATAGCCTAGCTATTAGTAAAATCCTTAGAATATGAAACACAGCTACGGACAGGAGGGTGGGTTGGGCTTAATCAGGTCTCATGTTGTGGCCTAACAGCCAACTTGTGATTCCAGTTCTGACTCCAAAGTGAGACTTTCCTGGACCATATTTGTCGTCTTACTGTCTCTCTCTTCCTCCCATCCCTTCTCCTTTCTGTCTCCATCTTTTATCTCCACCGAGAAATGGAACTTAAAATTACCTTTCTTGAAGGTCCAGTCAGGTCTCTGGCCCAGAGGACAGGACTGTGAAAATGGCCCAGTATATTACAAAGTGTGTCAGTTCTAGCAGAAGGAAATCCAAGGGAGTTAACTCCTCCCGCGAAGAAACTAACTGAGTTTCAAAGGCGACACCTATGCAGAAAGGGTACATTCTGGTCGGGAAGCTTGGAGAATAAACAATTTCCAGGATACTTGAAACCATCTCAGGTGAAATCATGGTTGGAAATGTGCCCCAGCCACAAACAACCCACCTGTAGGCGACTCGGTCTGTGACCCAGAATCCAGACCTTTCAGCCATCTCACACAGGTAGAGCAATCAGTTCAAGTCCCTGCCTTCTGCTCCAGGAGCTCCTCCCACCCATGGATCACACTATGGGTGGTGGTACAGGGTTGGGGGAGGCCAGCAGGCCAAGAGTAAGTGTTTGCAGATTGAGCTCCAGAGAACATCTCGAGTTTCAAGTATCCAGAGAGCCAAGGTGAATAGTGTCCAAAGCTGGGTGCTTCCTTGGGTGCCTGGGAGTTCCCTGGGCCTCAGGGGACAGTCTCAGTCTCCTTCTTGATGGCTGGTTTATAAATGACTCCCTTGTTTTCACTTTTTTTGCTACTAGAACAATAATAAGAGGACATCAGTCTCGTTAGTCAAAGTGGAGAGAATAACCAGACAGCAGCCTGACTCAGATACGGCACTGAGGGGCTTTTTGAAGTCAGACTCTTCCCCTTGGGACTTGCTCGCTTCTGCTGTTGGGAGGGAGTCCCTCCAAGCAGGGCATTCATGAACTACAGTGGAACCTGTTCATTTTGCAACTGTTCTTTTAATACCTCACAGTACTAGACCTGCATTTTGAAGATCTCGTTATGACTGTACTTCAAACTTTTGGTTTCATAATTTCCAAAAATATTTTTAATGTTCTTACCAGGAAAGGTAATTATGTTTAGGAAAACCCAAAAGTGACGATAAAACCACGGGCCAAGGGAATTAATAGCTAATGTGAGAGTGCAGGTTTTCCCTCGTTTTTCTCCCTGGATTCATAGAAGAAAAACCAGATGTGAAGATCTTAGCAAGAAGATAGCCTTGCTGACTGTGTTCAGGTGCAAACCCCGAACCAAGAGACTTGTCCATAGTCACATGGATAATTAGCCATGGCAGCAGGGCTGACACACCTTCAAGTCTGAGCACGGTGACCTTCCCATGGTGATCATCCTGTGAAGCGGGCACTGCTGTTTCGGCCACAGCGCTCCAAGGAGAAGTGTGGGTTGAGATGACAGGGCTCCGCCTTCCCAGCTAGACTCACCACCAGGGACACATAAGCCTCCCACTTCCATTTGGATCCAAACCGGCTCACCTCTTTTTCCTTCTGAAGAGCCAAATGGACACTCCCAGGACAATGCAGATGCCAAGAATACCAGCCAGGGCCACGGACAGGACGATGCCTGGGGAAGAGGCAGCGGGCACACATTACACTTTCCCCGCCCCCTCGAATCCCACCGCACACAGGTGTGCAGTCGTGTCCTCGCTGCACGATCAGCCCCGGAAAGGTGCAGTTTCCCCATCTCTGCTCTCGAGTTCTGGGCTCTGGCTTAGTGCAGCTGGCTGGGGTGCTTAACAGTGACCATTTACAAAGTCAAGTGGTTTTCTAGGAGGAGTTCTCAAACGTGTACAGAAATCATCTGAAACGCTTGTTCAAAATGTAGGGGTTTTTTTGTTTTTATTTTTAGCCCAAGCCTCAGAGACTCAGGTTCAATCTGTTAGGCGTGGGGCCTAGGAATCTGCATTTTACCACACGCCTCCAGCTGATGCTGTTGTTCTTGACCCCTGAACTACAGTTTGAGAAACCCTGAGCTTAGAAGAACTTATTCCATCTTTGCTTCTTGGGCCGTCTTTACCATTTTTGTCCCCAAGTTCCTGATTCTTATTCCCCACTCACCTGACCTCCACCCTGGGTTTAGAAGTGTTTTCACACAGCGTCCTCCCACCATGACCAAAAGAAGGCTTCAGAGAGGCTGATTGTATTGTACACATGCTGTACAGTGATTAGGTCTTTGATTAGAGCAACATTTGATTGGCAGTTCATCTTTGAATTAGAGAATAACACACAGAATAAGAAGGAGGCCAGGGGCCAGAGTGACAGTGGAGAGAAGCAGAGAGGATGGGCTGGAAGGACCACAGGCCCAGATCACACTGAGAATCACAGAGATCACCCAGCTGCAGCATGCACGGCCGGCTAGCCACATACCCATACTCAGTTCTGCGTCGGTAAGTCCTACCATAAGGGAGGAAAAGATGGGAAGTTAGAGTCAAACTGTGCTGTGCTGAATCTGACCGTGTGTTGCAAGAAGCTGTACCTTGTCCTTGGCTTATGCAGCCCTTCTGGGGCTCAGATGACTGCCTGCTGGCGTGGAGGAGGTGGCCACCTAGGAATTCCTCCTGTGATCCCTCCTTCCTGTCTCCCCACCCCACAGCCGCTCTATCATTGTGTTGCCTCGTGTTGCTTGGCCCTACTGGAAGGAGACTCCTCCACTATCCCTGCTGCGTGTCTCTGCTATGTGGGACTAGGCGATGGTGGCTTCTCCACGTGAGTCACTAGTGGGGTAAATGGAGTGAGCTGGGAGTCCTCAGTGGACTGAACCAGTACCCAACTCTCTAAGGATCTCCCAGGGCAGAACGCCTGTGACTCCATGTCCTTGAATGAGCAGAGGAGCCCGATCATGCCATCTCCCTGGCCTCCCCCAACCTGCTTCGCTCAGGTCCTTTTAACCCTTCCCCTGTCTCCCAGTCAGGCCCTCTGTCTAAAGAAAGTCTGTTTATAGATACCCTTCTCAGTGTTTTCTGATCTCAACAGAAACTGCACACGCGTGTATGTGATGGGGGTTATTTGGTGGAGTACTTAACTCACACTGGAAACCAGAGATGGTGGCCACCAAGGCTGATACCCAGAACAGCCTGTGCCTGTAGAGCCCACCATGGCCTCCAAGACCCTAGGAGACCCTGGCCAAGTGTGAGATGCCAGCAGAGGGCCAGCCTCCCCCTCCGGGGCACTGGACACCCTGAGGCACCACATTGTAGGCTGCAGAAGATTTATTCCCTTCCCATCCCCTGTCCCATGGCCAGGGTATCGCTGCTTCCCCAGCATCCGTGAACTATGTGCCTTCCCTACTGTTGGTTCGCAATCTCATATTGAGCCTGCAGAGCCTCCCTGGTGCGAGGCTGGCCCCCGTGTGTCCCTGGTCTTGCCTCTGTAGGTGCCCCTGGGCTGCTGTGAGGGTGAACGGAGAGGGCAGGGAGCGAGCTGACCCCAAGGACAGGGTGGTGTTCTCCCTGCTGTTGCCAGCCACCACCCATCATGGCCTCCCACGTGCCAGAGAAAGGTTGCCCAGGCCAGATTCCCCACCAGCCCTGTTCCTGTATCCTTTTTTTTTTTTCTTTTGTCTTTTTGAGACAGGGTCTCTCTATGCAGTTCAGGCTGGCCTTGAGCTCACTTTGTAGCCCACGCTGGCCTCGAACTCGCAACGATCCTCCTGCCTCAGCCTCCCGAGTGCTGGGATTACAGGCATGCGCCACCACACCCAGCTTCTCACTTCTTTTTTTTTTTCTTTTGTCTTTGTTCCTGTATCCTGAATGGGAGGACCCGTCTGCGGCATGGGGAGGCGCTGGGCGGAGGCCCCGTCTGACGGGGAGGTTCACGTGTGTGCAGCTCAGGCACCGTTCCCCACCTGGCCCGTGGTGCAACTTGGTATTTGGGTTTGCGGTTTTTATTTAAAGGTTCCCAGAGACTTTGCCCCTTGGGCTTGCAAACAAACAAAACCTGGCCATGCTTTCTTTTCTGAGCTCTTTGATGAAATATACTTTCGTTCTTTGTTCCTAGAGCTTCAGAAGCTTGTAGTACCAAACCAGTTCTCCCCACATAAAAACTATGACCGCCAAGCTTGGCCACTTCGCTAAGCCGTCCAAGCTGGATGATCTTCCTAAAGCTGACTCTTCCACAGCCACCTCACAGAGCCTGAGAGCCACCCAGGACCCTGGCAGCCGGGCAGGCCCAGTCCCTGCTGGTCGTAGTTTGCTGAGCAGACAGTGGAGAACAAGGCCCCAAGAGAGGCCTCTTCTCCAGAGCACATGCCCCAGCTTGGTGGCTTCTCTCTCACTATGTGTGGTTTATTCAGTGGTATTTTTGACTGGAATAGGCCTGACAGACTACAGTACAATTCAGTCCACTGCTGTAACCCAAGCGCTTTGCTCCTCGTCGGGTGTCCAATAGGGTCTCCTTGCAAACAGTGAAGGGAGGCAGAGCCAGAGACTGCTAACTAAAAGGAGAGGGACAATCAGCGAGATGTTCAGAGCAGAGGGCAACTGAGAGAACTACAGCTGGCAGAGAAAAGCCAAACCCTGTTTCACAGCAGAGCCTCGGCTGGGTGCGGCCCAGCCTCTGGGCTGCTGTAGAGAACAGGCCTCAAAGATGGCCAGAGACAGTTACATTCAGGTTAAACAGAGAAATGGTCTATTTCTACACAGGGACTAAGACAGGCAGGTCCCACTGAAGAACAATGAGACAGAAAGGAGAAACAGACAGGCTGTTTCAGAGTGGCCCGTGACAGCCACTGGCTAAGAACTCAGCAGAAGGGGCGTCTAAGCTGCCTGGTGGCAGAGAGATGCTGAGCTCCCTGCTGTCCACAGGGTGCTCAGGTCCGAGTCAGGGTGAGCGGACACAGGGCAATATGACACACGGAAGGAAACGACACGGACACAGGAGAACTGGATTGCGCATGCCTCGTCCGGTTAGGCACAGACACCTGGAGGAGGTTGGGAGCTGCGTGCCACAAGGGCTTTGCTACCTGCTCTGGCTGGCTCAGGAGCTGCATCTTCCACTTCCGGGTGGCCCGAGGATGCTGGGTGACTGCTTTTGAGGTCTCCTGAAGCCTCAAGCGTAAACACAGACAAGTCCAGCCCGAGGAACAAGCACCTCATGCGTACATCTTGGGGTTCCTGGAACAACAGCCTAGTATTTTCTAGCTCTGTTTGCAGTTCTGCTTGATAACATAACCTTTTTCTTTTTAAAGTCCTATTTTAAAGTTCAACTTTTCTGTAGGCAGCAGGTTATACAGTGATAACATATACACATATCTGAGTCTTCAGCCACCTCTAGTCTTATAAAAGAGAACAAGACAGTTTAGTTTACCAAAAGTTCAATCCTGTAAATCACATGAAATCCAGTTTAGGATGGTAAAATTCCTGTTACCATACTGTATTATAAACCATAGAGTCTAGCAACTACAGCACTGGTACTCTTTGGAAAATGCTTTAGTAAGAAAAGCAAGGTAGATGCCCTCAGTAACCCGAGCACGACTCTCTTTGGAGGATGCATTCACTTGGGGAGTTTTCCTTATTGACACTGCACAACCCCATCAGGAAATAATTTCCACAAAGAAATCTGCCAAAGAGACCCTGCCAGATCACACGTTGGAACTGTTTATAAAACCGTGATAGGACTGAGGGCTTTGTGTGCCAAACCACGGGAGAGGAGGCCCACAGCAGAAAGCCACACTGCTCCAAGGGGCCCAAGTCCCGGAGCAGCAGGGCAGTTACAGCCGCAGCCCTTGGTGCTGTGAGCGGCCTTCACAGCCCAGGGCGACTGTGCTGAAGCAGTGGTGAGCGGCAGAACTGGGCCTTCCACCTCTCAAGCCAGAGCCGCAGAAGGCTGCGTGCGCGCAGCTAGGCACTTCTCCCAGACCTTCAGAACCAGACAGGAAGTTCCGACCTTTAGTTTTTCTTGCACACATGGGCTGATTGAAACAGAACAACATGTGGGCTGACTGAAAACAGAGCAAAGTGAGACTTAATAGAACTAAAATTGGACAGCTGGTCAGGCTCAAGTATAAATCATTCTCAGAGAAGGCGCTGGTGAATTGGGGGGAGGGAGATGGTCAGTTGCATTTTTTCAGCATGCTTATAATGAGCACCGGGCACAGTGCCAGCCATGAAAAACAAATGAGATGTCAACTCTCCCTTCCTTAAGGAGCTTGTACAGTGTGTACATATTTCTCTCTCTCTCTCTTTCCTTCCTTCCTTTACTGTTTTTAAATTGTGGTAGGAAATAATTGTTCTGTGGTGCAAAGTACTACAACAGGGATGAGTAAGCTTGGCCTGGCCACACTGAGGAGACCCCAGGTCACCTCCAGGGGAGCAGGGAGGACTTCTGAGGATGTGAACAGAGGTGAGGCTAAAGAATTTCCCATGTGGAGGAGGATGAGAGCCACCCCAGACAGAAGGAACGGTGTGTACACTCGAGGCAGCTGTCCTACAAGGGAGGCCCTGCTGTCTGTTGGGACAGAGCCCAAGAGGACAGGGACGGGTGCTGTCAGAGCCCATGGGGGAGGTCGGCTGGGGCCCTCGCTACGGGGGCTCCAGCCTCCCGCCTAGCCCCCTTTCCCACTGCCATTCCTGAGCACGGTCTGCTCTGTGCCAGGGGGTTATCAGGAGCAAAGTGATGCGTGGTAGGGCTTTCTGTCCCCATAGTGCACAACTGGGCTGTAGTCAGGAAACACCTGGGGTGCTGGAGGGGACCGGAACTTCACTTCTTAGAGCATCTGACAATTGCTCCTCAGTATTCAGTTCCCTGAGTCAGTTTAGGAATCTGCATGTAGGGCTCCTCCGGTTACTTGGTTGGATGCTTTGGAAGAATCAGTGATACTCTTCCAGCTAACACCTTTTATTTATAAATAAAAACTTAAACACAAGGTCAATATCCACAACATATACATTCTAATCTCAAAATATTAGATAATTCGCCATCTTAGCTGTGAGGTTTCTCTGTCTCTTTGAAGGTTTTCTAAAACTATGCAGGTCCTTGAGGGTCAAGCAGATGCTAACCGTGCTACTGCGCAGTCAGGGCTCTGGTCCTACAGCAGGTGACATGCATTTGCTCAGAGCAGGCCCGCTGAAGACGTGATTATAGGAACTCTGTGGCCTCCTTCTGTCCCACCTGTTTCCCTCATCTGACAAGTCAGAAAAAGTGCTAGATAATGTTAGTACAGTATTTATGTTTGATGGGTTCTTGCTATTAGCCGTCACCATCTGGACCAGAGTTGGTGTGGCGGGGGAAGGGGTCAGCCTGAAGCAACCAAGAGTCAGGCCAAAGCCCTAAGCCTTGGCCCCCTTGGCATCTGCTTCTGCTGCCTTTCTCGTTACTCGGGGCATCTGACTCCTATGCCACCTGAGATGGTCCAGAGATGACCGCCCTCTCCGGGAGCTCCCTTCAAGAACAAGCTCAGGTGTTCTTTGGAAGAAGCACCTTTTAAGAGCTGAGAAAGTACCTAGCATGACTGTCACTTTCCCATAAGAGCAGGCATTTTAACCAAAGGCAACAAGAAACAGCCTATAAGAGAGAATTTGGAAGAAAGCTGCTACCTCAGAAGTCTCCAGCCCCCACACAAAGGGGTTTGTGTGTTCTCTTAAGGGGGCCAGGTTCCCTGTCATGCCAGTTCTCTTAGCCTAACCGCTTTCGAGATGGGGACTGAGGCAGCTCTTAGATTTACTTGTTCTATTTCAGTAACTTCAACTCTGCTGTTTTGGCCACGATCATCACTCGACTGAAATTTTCATGCCATGACAGAATAAAGAAAAGACTCTTAGAGTCCTATGACACAGTGAAAAAATCAGTTCTGAGCTTAGGGGAGTCATTGAACAACCCTTGGGGAAGTATATCTCAGTCGGGGGCTTTTTTGAGACAGGATCCCACTATGTATAGTTGAGATTGGTCTTGAACTCACTACATAACCCAGGCTGGCGTCGAACTCACAGCGATCCTGCTGCCTCAGCCGCCTCAGCCTCCCGAATGCTAGGATTATGGGTGTGCGCCACCACACTCCTAGCAATCAAGGGCTATTTTGCCACTTCTCCTCTAGAGAATTTGGCAGTGTCTATACACATTGTTGGCTGTCACAGGGGGGAGATATTTGCATCTAGTGGGGACAGACCAGGGATGCCGCTAGACACCACCAGAATTATCCTGCCTGAACTGTCCGTAAGACCGATGTTGAGAAACCCTTTCGCAGCGCAGCAGTACAGCACAATTCTCAGCCTCTTGGGACAGAAAGCAGCTTCCGTCATGCTTTTCTGAGCATAGTCTAGGAAGACAGCAGAGTCACGTGAAATGACTGAGTCCCAGTTGTCCCTATTAGTTAAACCTCAGATCTTCACCCCCACCCAATCTCTCCTAGAGGATTTCCTTCACGTTACTTCCCCTCTGGCGGAATTTCCTGACTCCATAGCTCTTGTTAACATCCCGAGAAAATCCTGAGTAAACCAGACCCTAATTACAAACATGCCTCATTAGAAGAGTCTACAAATAATTGAATCCAAATTGCTTAAGGCTCATGCTGACAAACAGGCTCCACCGTAAGCCTGAGACAGGATGTTACAGTCTGAGAGCTGCTCCAAGCCGAGTGTGGGGCCCTGGTGGACAGCCCTGGGCAGCTGAGGTTTCACGTCTCAGGGGCTGCCTCTTCATTGCTCCTGAGGAAGCAGCCGTGTTAGCTGCCTGTGTCTTTGGGAAGTAAGAGAGACAGGTGAATTCTGGCCAAGTTTCTATAATCAGCCTCCAGATGAACGGGTTTGCCTTGGGCTGCCATGAATTCTCACCACAAGGAGAAAGCTGAGTCCAGCCACAGAAGCAGCGGGTGTGTTCAAGCCATGCAGGGAAGGTCAGCAGAAAAGCTGCCTTGATCTTGACTTCCTAAGCTTCCTAAGTTGGTGCACAAGCTTCTGCTGCAAGCCCTTTCGATCTACTCAGCCAAACGAAGAGTTTACCGAAGCGCTCTGCTACAAACCTGCCTTCACTACCCAGTCTACAAGCAACTACTTTGATGGGAGCCAGTGCAAGAAGATGGCTAGTTCCTCCCAAAGCCACAGTCCATCATTACAGTGGGGGGTTACTGTTGGATGCCATAGTCAAGTTTCTGCCCGGTTTCTTCTGATGCTCTGTAACTGCCCTCAATCTCTGTCCCTGCAACGTAAAGTTAGGGTTGGTAGTCGTTAGTGTCCATTGAAAGTCGTAACATGTTACGCTGAACGGCTGTCAGATCGCTTCATCCAACCTGACATTTTGGCTCAGGAAGTCAAGGCTCACGAAGCAGTATCGTATTACCACGTCATATAGCAGAAGAAAACGAAGTAAGACCTTGAACCAAGGACTCCTAATATTTGTTTCCTTGTTCCCAAGGATGTGCACAGAGTAACTAGCTCAGGCAGCAGAGCTCAAGAAAACCAAAGCAAAGCAAAACAAAACAAAAAAACCCAAACAAACCAGAGCCCTTAAATCACAAGCAAAATTCTACCTGATCTACGAGGGAAAAGTCCCTTACCTCCAGGCAGAGTTCAGTATTTTAAAATTTAACTTAAGTATTGCAGTAGTTCCATTTATGCCTTAAATACTAGATATTTCACTTGGAAGAATAAGATAAGAAAACGCTCCACCCAGAATAGATCGCTAAGGAAAGCATTCTGGGCATCTGGATCATTTCCTAGGAAAGAAGTTGTGAATTATCTTATCGATTCTCCATGGTAGGCAGGACCGTTGTTCTGGATTCAGTTTTCAAACTGAGACACTGAGGAAGGGGGGGGAAGTGACCTTAACTAGCACTATCTGAAGAGAGCACAAAGGTGAGTTCTTGGGCAGCTTTTAACTCAGTACTACAGAGCAGGACAGAATCCTGACCATAGAAATGGGTCAGCTCAGAAGCATGGGTTTCTAAATCTTTGCTGCAGAGGCCTTGAGATGGTCTTCATTTACACAGTTAAACTGACTGGCGATGGTTATAATCATCTCCTAGAGTAAAACAAGGAACAAGGAGAACAAACAGTGCACCTGGGTACGATGCGTGCCACAGATGCTCTGCCAAGTAGGCTAACGGCTTCATCTGTAAATGTGGACAGCTGGCCCAGCTGGTCCATGAGTGATATAAGAGGATGAAACGGGACTTGGATGGATCTTCCCCACTTTTGAACACCCAAGATCCCCAGGGTGGAAGAGGCTCGAGAATCCACAGTGAGAGAGTGAACTCCCAAGTTTCAAAGAAGGGTGTGGGTCCCTTGTCCCTTTCCAGAAGTACCGATGGAGGCACCGAGCAAATAAAATGTTCATGTTCTTCTGGGAGCTATGGATTTAAAGGGAAGAGTGGGCCTTCGTAGTAGTAGGAATAAAGCACACTATTATGCTTCATTCAAGATGGAACAGGTATGCATGTGCTTGTATGCAAGCACCAAGGAGAAGAGACAAAAAACTGTGAATGAGGGTGCTTCCTTCCCAGTGGAAGACCTTGAGCTTCTGGTAGTCGTGACCTTACAAAGGAGCACCGCGGGTGGTGGTGGTAGGTGAGTCACCTAAGTAAACTTAGGTGGGGTGGCCGCAGCCCTTGATGCCAAGAAAGCCTAGGACGAAAAGGCGGAAGTCTAACCACACAACGAGGGGCCGATCATGTGTCTCAGGAGACAGATCATTCCTCAGAGCAGAAGTGCCCTAGGACACCTCTTCCCTGTCTGTGGAAGCCTCCCAGAGCTAACCAGTGCTCTGGCCCACGGGCCTGGAGGTCCTGGCCTGTGCTTCTCTACAGGGGCTCAGGAAAATGGACAGCTGGGAAAGGAGACCCCAATAACAAGCCCCATACCATAGCTTCTGGTTGTGCCCGGTTCCTTAGGCAGCCTTGCAAGGGCACCAGTGCCAGACTCAGACTTGGTACGACACATCCTGCCACCTCCACCCACCCCCCCCACCCGTTACTGCATCCCTCACCTTGTTGGAAGGAGATGTACACCAGCCTCTCTTCAAACTTTTGGACTTGCCGGAAGTTGTTGACCATTTCTATGGGGGCAGGGTCACTCACATCTGTGCAGAACAGAGCTGTCTCTAAAGCCAGCAGCTGAAGGGAAAAGCAGAAACAAACCCCACGGGCAGACTGATACTCCCAGGGAACAACACATCGGAGGAGCCCCTGGGGTGTCTGGTGGGAGGCAATAAGAGTTCTCTGCAGTGAGAGGGCAGAGAACCGCTTCCACAATGCCCGCGCCAGTGCCTCGCTAACGGGGCACTGGGAGTGTTAAGTGCCAGCTCCCAATTATGCCACAGAATCTGCCCCACAGGGGGAAAGCTGGAGAGGGACAGAGGACCCCTTAGCCTCGCCCATGAACCTGAATTGGAAGCCAGCTCTTAAAGTAGAAGGCCCACGGCTTGTTCTTATGGCCGCCAAAGGAATAAAAGGAGAGAGAAGAAGGTTCCCAGGTCACCTGACTGTCTGTCACTTTCAGGTATTTTCACCCACCCGCAGAGATTATATAATGGGTTTCTGGGTTAAGATGTTGCTGCTTCCCCACACACATCACCTCTGATTCTCCACATCCTCACTGCTGTCCACCCACCTGCTGCCACTCTAGGTAGAAGCTCATAGCAACGAGCAGGAGCAGCAGCGCCTTGGGTCCCGAGGTGGGTGTGAGGCGCAGCGTGGCCCAGCCGCCTCTCCTGGGGGCTGGGTCTCCGCTTCGTGCTTGTTGTGGAGTGCAAGAACGAGCCCGGGCTTGGAGACTCCGAGAACCTGACTCTGGGCCTCACGTTTGTCACTAACCAGTGGTGATCCCACAAGCTCCTGAGCCTCGCCTCCCTCCTCTGTATCCTGAGAGGCTTAGGGCTGCTGGCTCTGGGCTTTGCTCCCCAGATAAAGGATTTAACTGGATGCAGGCTTCACTCTGCCCCCTAAAGGAGCCAGGTTCCCTCCCACCTAGGGAAACAAAGACCCTCCAGCCACCAGGGGCCATCTTAGCAAATTCCGCCATGCAGCTGAAGGTTCCTTTAAGGAACTGTAGAGACACATGCTCACTTTCCCAGCATGACTCCACGGCTCCTCTTTAAGGTCCAGCCTGTCATCCCTGCATGTTTTCAGGCACCACTGATATTCAGAGAGCTGCCAGTGGAACTAAGCAAGGAAAACCAGTCATTAATTGTCACCCAGTCTGCGGCGGGGACGGAGATGCAGCGTGTACTCTGGCTTCGACTCTCACCTGCTCCTGGGAAACTTGCACAGTGTTACGGAAAACCGTCCAGAGCACGGTGGGGTTGCAAGGTGGGGTGGTCAGGGACCCCTCGTAGCGGTAGTACTCGGCAGTCTTCTCCGGAAGCAGCTCTTCAATGTTGAAGCCCGGGATGCGCACTTGTTGACCTGCAGGGACGTTGGAGGAGGGGGCAGGTCAGCCTCGCTCCTGTAGCTGAGCCCGGTGAGGGAGCCTGTCACCATGAACTCGCCTTTTTCTAGGTCATCCATCTGAGACGCTGTTACAGCGCAGTTAGCAACCTGCGGCCCTTAACCTGGTGAACACTAACCGTACCCACCCCTTGTATTGTTTGTCTTAAGGTGACACAGGTGTGACGGCTCCAACAGAGAGGGAATAAGCATCCAGGGGCCCCTCACCTTTGAACCTCACGTGTTGAAGGTGACTGAAGATCTTGTCATATGATGGATTGAAGGAGCCTCTCTGCAACAGAGATCGGGAGGGTGAGCTGGCACAGAACACTGTAGGCTGAGCCTGGACTGGCAGTCGGTGTCCAAAGGGCTGGGCTGGGTCCTTACCATGGCCTGAAGGTCCCCTCCGAGGGCCCACCTTGCTAGGATGACCACGGGGGCCACAAGGTTGTTGGGAGTTAGTGTAATGGCCCTGCCTTCTTGCATCAAAGGACACCCTCTTTCCATCTAAGGCATTGAGCCGAGGGCACAGGGTATGGAGAATGGCACGTCCATCTGACTCAGAACTCTAGGGAGTTCTGAGGTCCCAAAAGCCAAGCCAGAGAAGGAAGTATATTGGGAAATGAGGTATGTACTTCATTATGGGGGAAATGACAGCTAATCAGAAGACATCCCATTTGGGGAATTAAAGAAATTGTCCCGGGTTCTATATACAATGTGGAGCGTGGCTACCAGAATGGTAATTGGGTCAGGCATCCAGTGGGACAACACAGTGATCCCTTCTCTCACAGGGCCTCCCCCACTGGGCAGGTCTGTACTCATGCAACAAGCCTGGAGATTGGGGCCCACTTTTCCATGTCACAAGACAGGTCCATATCCGTTTCTGCTGCCCAGCCCACATGAGAAGGAAACATAAGGGATATACCCCTGCTCTGGAGAGAGGACATGGCCCACTTAGCATCAGCTTGCAGGCAGAAAACAAAATGCCAAATCCCAAGCTTATCCCCACTACAGATTTCATATACATCCCCTTCGATGTCTCTTACCTCCAGGAGAACAGCGAGGACGGCGAGGCCTCCTGACTGGTTACTGGCAGCGCTGATGTTAGGGTACTGGTCTGAGTTATAGTGGACAATATGCAGCTGCAATGGGAGATTGGGAGAAAAGCCACCAGTCATGGGGCAGGCAACCCACAGGGACTTTTGGTTTCTGAGGAGGCTTGAAACTAACTGGGAAGAAAGACTCCATTCCTCCCTTCCCCCAACAAAACTGACCCTCCCCTCGTGGCATCCCCAGCATTCCCTTCCCCCCCAGTCCTTTCCAAAGTGCAAACCTCACTTGGGTCCCAGAATCTGATAGGGTGCCTGCAAATACTACAGATCCCACAGACGTGCATGCATACATGGATGGATGCATGGATAGATGGATGGATGGATGGGTGGATGGGTGGGTTTTCATATTAGCCACAAAAAAGCCTGGGAACTTTGGAGCTCTTCTCCCTTCTGATTTTGCTACTTATTCTGGAGCCGGGAGCAAAGTAGTCTCCAGTGGCTGTCACAGCCTCAAGCTTGGTCTCTGCACTTCATCTGGAAGTACAGGGGGCAGGGATGTTGGGCAGGAAACCTCTAGCTGTAACTTAATCGTTATGGATACAGCAAGGGACACACGTTTATACATTAGAGGGAGCACATCACAAAAGGGCTTTTGTAAAGGTTTTATCAGCCACTTTTGAAGAGGCCACAAAACAAGACTATTGACTCTTCACAAAATAAAATTTTCAAATTATTTATTTTCAGAGCAGAAATTGTCATTATTAAAATGAGAAAAAGAGAAGTTTTTGAGAAATTTTGGGTTTACAAAGTCTAGGAAGCTGTGCATGGTGGTGCACACCTGTAATCCCAGCACTCGAGAGGCTGAAGCAGGATCACCATGAGTTTGAGCCCAGCCTGGGCTAAATAGTGAGTTCAAGGCCAGCCTGAACCACACAGTTAGACCTTGTCTCAGAAAAACAAAACAAACAACCAAGAAAAAAAAAATCTAGGAAAATATTAAGACCATTGTTTTGACAAATTCTGATAATGTTTAGCCTGACCTATGGATTATTTTTCCTTTTTTTTTTTTTTGAATCAGGGTCTCACTATGTATTCCAAGCTGGTCTTGAACTCACTATATAGCCCAATCTGAGCTTGAGCTCATGGTCCTCCTGTCTCAGCCTCCTGAGTGCTGGGATTATAGGTGTGTGCCACCACACCCAGCTGGCCTGACTTAACCCTAAAGGTATTGTCACCTGGCCTTCAAAAAAACCTTATTAGTAGATAGATCTACATATGTATCACATGCATTTTTATTGAGGTACTCCTGAGACTGAAACTTTGAGGTTTTTATCTCTATATCTTTCTTTTCAGTCCTTTTTCTGTTTATGTGTCTGTAAATAGAATTCAAGCAGGTTTTATTGAGTACAGCTTCATGTCCCCATTTGAATTTTTAAGTGGCCCTCTCTAATTTTTAAAACTGTATCATATTATTTCTTCTTTTATGGGATCCTCTATTAGGAATTTCTTAGGGGTCTCTGCTTCACCACCTTTTGGCCTAAAGGACAGAGGCTGTCACATTGCCCACTGAGGTGGCCTTGCATGAATTTGAGACGTAACAGGATTTTATGTGACTAAAATTCCAAGGTCCTGGGTCTTTATTTCTTTTTACCAAAGACCTCTGAGCTTGTGGTCTGTCTGAACATTCTTTTTAGCATATTAAGATTAAATCAAAAGGAATTTCCTACCAAAGGGTTTAAGAGCCTTCTTAACCAGAAGAACCACTATTTTCAGATTTTCCCTAGAGAATCTAACGCTTAGTATCACCATGACATCTCGTATCAGCATTTATAGTCCTTCTTCCTCAGGCTCTTGGTCTGATGATGTGTCTTAATAGCAGAAAATACGATGAGTAGAATTACTTTTAAATGCATAAGCCCTACAAACTGACATCCTAACTCCGTTAGTCCTCTCAAGGGAAAAAGAAGGCTCAATACTGCAATTAGCCTGGAAGAAACTGCAGTTCTTGAGCTTCACAGAAGGGCTGCTCTGAAGTATGTGAACTTCCGGTAGTGCCATCATATTGGGCCAGGATCAGATGCCCTCCGCACTTGTAACTAGACTTACAGTTAGCCTGAGACATTAAGCAGTTCAGCAGTTAAGGAAGGGGAATGGTCCCCGCTGGCTGATCCCTAGCATTTATCTCCTTGTGTTTTTTTCCCAGTAAACGTTCAGAACCGTAATCCAGCTCATTGCTATAGGAGCAACAGAATGGAGCCGCTCAGCGCCCTCCTGTCTCACCCCATCACACCCCTCTGGTACGACAGAAATGCTCTGTATCTCTTCTATTCTATAGCATTTTGGGTCAGCATCTCAGGGTAGTGTGGCACAGTTCTGTGCTGACATCCCAAAGACCTCAGCAAGTCTCTGACTGCCATGATGCCCCACGCATAAGAGTTCCAGTCATTCCTTGATTTGGGGCCAAGGAGAAGAGTGGCCCTGTGTTCACCCCCTGTTCACAAGCATGACTCATGTCCCGGGGGAGGAAAAATGGGATGGAGAGACATTTGCAGGCAGCATGCCACGTGAAGAAAGACTGAAGCTCGGGGGAGCAGTGAGCCCACTGGGGTTAGCATGAGAGGCACCAGCCAGGCACGCAGGCGGGATCTCCATCTGCGCAGAGAGGATGAGAACGTACATCCCGCTGCGCCACCCTGGGAACCCGGCCTTCCCAGCTGCATCACTTGCAAAAGAGACAGAGACCCACTCAGCACATTCAGACCGTGAAGGCAGGAGCTCTCTTGTCTCATCTGCACACCAGCGAGGTGGAGGGCCTGCCAGGCCACTCACCAGGCAGCCTCCGCCCCACCGGCGGCCCACTCACCTCAGCAGCGAAGTGCTTCCCGCTGACGGTGTGCTCAGAGCCGAAGGGCTCCTGGCTGTCCCCCCAGTGCAGGTGCAGCTGTGTGGCCCGGTACCGGTGGGAGCCGAGGCCCTGGATGTGCATGGCTGGGTGCAGGCACAGCTTCACTGTGGGAAGTCAGGAGATGCATTCAGAGCTCTGGCCAGCAGAGGCCCACAAGAGAGCGACTGGCTAGGCAAACCCTGCGCAGGCTCCGGAAGGGGGCGGGTGGCTGCAGCAAGCTGTGGACCTGCAGGTCAGAAAGCTGACCGCTCACCCAGTGCATCCTTCTGCTAGCCCACAGCAACTCCAGTGGCACCAGCACCTTCATGGTTCCCCTTGGGAAATGATGCTGGATATACTAACTAGGCATCGATGGAAGTTTGTTTACGTATCCGTGTATCAGACCCCTGAACATGAAGATAGAACCTTCCGAGCTTTAGAATTATACAACAACAGCAGCAATGATAATTGACACTTCGCAAACACTTACAATAGGCCTGATCCGGACCTACCTAATCCCCAGACTTCATAGTGCTCATAACTTGTTCTTTTTCCAGATGAAAACTCAAGGAGGTTAAAATTCATGCCCAGAGTCCCATGGTTCATAAACAGGCAACCAAGATTCAAATCTAGGTGTTCTTGGAGCTAAGGCCTGGGAGCCTCCCTATCCACCCCTGCAGCTGAACTGCGCAGTCCTGCGGATGGTCCCAGGTGACCCACAATTCATTCTTACAAGGCAGCCAGTGGACCAAGGAGGTCCTCCCCAATCCTGGGACATGTGCTTCTTCTGAGATCTGCTGCTTTGGCTCAGAGTTGCCCCCTGCTTAGCCCCTTCTGGGTGCCTCAGGGGGGTCCCCGTGCCCGTCACATGGAAAAGGGCAGGCCAGGGAGCCAAGGGAAACCCACAATACCCTCAGGTCTCTCCCTCACCTGAATGGCCATTATTAGTCAGGTTCAGCAGTTCGCTGGAAGACACATTGTAACCTTGGAACTCGAGGGGTCCAAGGCTGGCGTTATACTGAAGGATGTCACCATGCAGGTCTATCGGAGACTGCAGCAGGCCCCCACAGGATGGGTACTTCTTGGACCAGTTCTTCTCCCCATTAGGGCCTGGACAGAGCGATTCAAGGCCAAGATTTAGTCCGTTTTCTACAAAGGTATCTCCTCCCCTTCTACTTCCGTACCTAGTACAATTATTCAGTATAATTTCTTTTCTCCTCTTAATTTTAGAGGCAAAATTTTCAAGACCCAAAGATCCCAGGGTACAGAATCAGGTCCCGAAAACCCCTCAGAACCACTTGCCATAAAAGCAATGTGAGGAGTGAAGGAGTCTGTCAGCCCTAGTGTCCTTAGCAGCTCAGGCCAGAGCATAGAGTCCCAAAGTGCTACTTTGCACACACACACAAGCTCCCCAGGTGAAGACAGGTGACTTTAGCAATTCATCACCTGCTCAGTGGGCACCTAGAATGATCCAGAAATTACTCTGGGTCTTGCGGCTGTCAGTTAAACACCACAAGGCCCCTGCTCACCCAAGCTGGCCTTCTAATGAATCTGCTAGGAATCTGTGTCCGCCTGGAAAACTGGAGTCTGACTGAATGTAGCTCCAGGGAGGTCTTCCAGGCTGGGGGATTTCCAGATATGATCTTCCTGACAGGAAGCCCTGGAGGCCCCTGACTCCATACACACATCTAGAGTGCCAAACCCAACCTGATAGGGACGCTTGAAAAAACGTCAATTACAGGCCTGGAATCACAGAGCTAAATGCAGGGTTTTCACTAGGGATAAGTGTGACAGTACTACAAACTAATTATTACAATGTGATTCGCCAAACACCCATGAAGAACAGATTTAAAAACAAAAATCCTCTAGGGCTCAAAGCTTCTTGCCAGCTACCAGAGAGCAGTCATTCCTCTGGAAATGAAAATAAACATCCCATGTTCAGATAAGCTATCCTGCTCCCACAGGGAAAAATCTTTAAAGAATGTAAATCTATCTTTAAAAGATTATCTCCCCTGGTAATTAAGCCACGGCTGAGGTTTCTCCTGAAAAGCAAATAATTGGCATGTTGTGGCTCCTTAGGATTGAACAGCGGTGTCCAATGGCCTGTGTCAGAGTTGGGACCAAGCTGTGCCGCCTGGGATCCATTCAGTAGGACAGGGCACAAGGTAGGGTTTTCAAGTAGAATAAAGGGGAGAGGACTCTTCTGGGGGCCCTCCCACAGACAATAGCACCGCTTCACGAGGTGGAGAGAGCCTCCCTTACGGACTGTTGACCCCTACACCTTGTTCTCTAAGTAGGAGAATTCACTTAGAGTGGATAGAATCAGAAATAATACTTGGGAAAAAATACACGGTATGCAGAGCTGGTCCCAGGCTGTTTTCCCAAGACTGGATACGCAAAAGCAAAACTCAACTCTAGGGGCAGCAGGGAGCACAAAGAAGCCACCGTAAGACATCACACTAGTCTCAGGGGTCAGCAAGGACACAATATAGGGTGCAGGAAAGACTAAGAATATTCAAGGCAGCAAAGTCGGTCTTGGCAAAAGCCTCCCAGGAAAGAGAAGCAGCTATATTGCCCTAGGAGAATTCAGAAAACAAGACTCCAGTGCCGGCTGGCCCACCACCTCCGTGAAAGACCTCGAGCAGGTTGAGTTCCCAGCAGGAGTTCCCACTGCCGGTGGCATCTATGGGACGCTTGAACACTGTATTGTGTTCCAGAAGTCCCTCCGGCTCTCCCGCTGTGAGAGACTGATTTATCAGTCTGTCAGGACTGAGGACCTTCACCCTCTGTGCCAGGCGAGTTTGAATGAGTTGAGAGAGTCGCTCATGCCAAGGCAGCTCCTGTCCTGTGATGAGAGGGCACAGGGCACTGGTGAGCCCCGGCTAGTTGGGGAGTGGACAGACATCTGCATCAGGAACCTGCCCCAGTCCTGGCCAGCGAGCTCCCTGGGCACCAGTCACAGGCTCTTAAGGCAGGAGGACGGAAAAGAGTAGCCTTTGTAGGCTTCCTTCAGCCTGCTCTTCTCCGCCATTTGTCATCACTGCCATTGCTGTCATTCATTTATTTCAATAGTTTTGATCCTCAGAATCCACAACTGTGTGATGTGGGCAAGACAGGAGTCGCCCCATTTTACAGATGAGAAATTGAAGTTAAGTGATTCGTCCAAAGCCAGACCTTGGCTTACTAACAGTTACCTTGCTTGGATCATGGAAGTTCTGTGTCTCTCTGTCTCCGTATTTGTCCAGAAGATTGTGTACATCTTTTTCCTCCCTCTCCTGTGCTCTCCTTGGAAGTGAGACTCTGTCTTACTTGCCAGTATTTCCTACGGTGCCTGGCGCGGAGCAGGCCCTCACATACGGCTGAGCTGAGTTCTCACACCCTGCTTCCCACTCGCTTTTTCTAAGCGCAGCAGGCACTCACTTTCACTCCCTCATATATTGTTTCCCTTCCAGAAAAGAGGAAGAAGATTGCTTGCTAAGATTCAGAATGGACCCCGCCAGCTTCCTAGCTCACCTGTGGGAGGATTGGTTCTGTTTGGGACCACTTGTTGAAACAGAGATCTGATTTCTGCTCCGGATCTGGGGGGTGGCCTGCCAAACATGTGACTTCGTAGAGTCCCGTGCCCTCTCACCCAGCATATGATGGCTCCTGTCCCCTTCTCGCACAGCTGGGGATATTGTCAGAGCAACCTCCTGTCTGTGTAGCTTGCAAGTGAGAGACGGAGGTGCCATGGAATAGATGCCAGGACAACCAATATCAAGGGCACAGTGGCAGCCTCTGTCCGGCACACGTGTGGCTTGTGGCCACAGTAGGTCCCGCCGTGTTGGCAGCTACACCACTGCAGTATTTCAACCAAGTTTCAGCTTTCACATGTGCCAAGGGCTTTGCTGCCAGGGGATCTCAGTGAGGAGCAATTCTTCTCCAAGCACCACTGACTTCTAGCTACTCTAAACCCTGGCTTTGCTTTCTTTGGGTTTTGACTTTACCTCTTCATGCGGTTGGCTTCTTTCCAGGATCGTGACAAAGGAGATCATGTGTATCTCACAGTTTGTTTTCCCACATAAAATCAAGGCATTATTTCTTTCCAGTTCATGAATTTTCCTGCTCTAGGCAAAAAGCAGCAAATAGATTTCCTGTTTTGAAATGTAATAAGGGATTGACATGGCACAGTTCAAAATGTCTCGTGATTTCTTTCTTTTTTTTTTTTTGTCTTTTTGAGACAAGGTCTCGCTGTGTGTTCAGGCTGGTCTTGAGCTCACTTTGTAGCCTAGGCTGGCCTTGAACTTGCAACAATCCTCCTGCCTCAGCCTCCTGAGTGCTGGGATGACAGGCGTGCACCACTATGCCTGGCCTTCTTGTGATTTCTATGAATTATAAGGCTCTGGGGCTTAGGGCTTGTATTATCCAAAGACTAGCATTTGATTTTTAAATTTCAAACATAGAGAGGAATGAAGTGAACCCCACATCATCCAGCTTGGACAATTTATAAGTCACATCCAGGTCTGCTTCCATTTTCACCATCTACCTGGATAACTCTGAAACGAATCCAGTTAGAATTCATCTGTACACATTTCGGTATGTATCTCTAAAGCACGACTAGATACAAAACCACAATATCGATACCTTCATATTATCGAACCCACCCACTCGGCATTCGCATTTTTCCAAATAGGTCATAATTTTTTAATGCTGTACTTGTAGAATTCAGGATTCAACAAGGTTCACACATTGCAAGGAGTCAATGTGTCAGGTCCCCAATCACAGTTGGTTAGTGCAGCGCCTCTTCAGATTGTAACTGGATCCATGCCCCCAGCACTGAGAATCTCAGAGCCGGGCCAGCCTGGTCCATCCTTTGGCCTCAGTTGGTCATGGAGTCCAGGCTTATATCACCACCACCCGCTCCAGCCTGGGCGAGGCCTCACAACGTTCCTGCAGGTGACGCAGCCTCAGCCTTTCTCAGCTGCCAAGCTTGCTCCTGCTGTAACCAGCTCGGTCTGGTGGTGGCCCTGCTCTGGCACTGCCCGTGGAGACACTCCCTTGCTCTCCAGCACATCTGCCCTTCCTCAACAAGACAAAGCAGAACATAGCTCTTTTTCCGGGCCTCACAGTGCCCCAAACTGCCAAGGACTTTCAAGGCCTTTACACACCTCCTGCCCATGCCCTGGCCCGGTCAGCTTCCCCAGCCTCAGAACAGGCCACCCCGACAACCTTCACAAATGTTCTCACGTTAAAAATCTCCTTGCAATGCTGTCCTTTCTTCCCTCCCAAACGCATCCTCCCAGTGCCTTCTCCTGCAGGCTGAACTTCATGGCCAGCCTACCCAGGGTGCCCCCAGGAGCACAGTGACTCGGTTCATCACTTGCCTGACTCAGCCCTGACTACAATCTCCCAAAGAGCACAAAAGCCCATTCCAGATTAGAGATCTGTCCACAAGCACACAGGAGGCAGAGAGCGTAGCCTGCGAAGACAATGAGGGTGGGGCAGATCCGGCAGGCAGAGCTCAAAATTAATCCTGGGCTGAAGGAGGAGGCACCACTGAACGTTTGCTGACTGCTGCCTGTGCCTTCCTGGAAATGAAATCCCATATAGTTTAAAAATCAAAAACTAACCACTCTGAAATCCTGGAACTCAGCAGGCTGCAAGGAGATCAGAGAGAGGAGTCAGCTATGGGAAGAGAAGCAGTCCAAAAACCTCTCATTCTGAGGCGTACGCGGTATATGAGCGAGCCCGAAACAGTTAACGTGCATTGTAAAAATGCACAAACACCCAGGGATTTTCTTAATATGCTTTGTCTTGTTTTAAAATTCAATCACAGAAAATTTCGGAACAGGTATAAAAGCAAAATGTAATACAATGGCGCCGTGTATTCATCTTTTCATGTCTAGTCTAGTTTCAGCCCTAATCCCTCTCCATCCATTTCCTCTCCTCGGGATTATTTAGTAGAAAATCTACGGATGCTTACGTAGCATGAAAGATCAAGACTCTTTGAAAAGCATAAGTTCACATCCGAAACTGTTCATTCCTTAATGTCCTCAGATATTTTGTCAAATTTCCCTCATTGCCTCCTAAGTCAATTCGAACAGTTTGTTTGAATGAATGTCCAAATCAGG